AGCTGGCGGGGCACAAAGCTGCTGTCTGAAGTGCTGCCAGAATGTGTCTGCGGCCGTACAGTGAAAAAGACCAACTAGACTAACCAAAGCCATCATAGCAGCAATTGACAATCACCCGAATCTCTCCCGATCGTCTGTGTTAGGCACTGCAGTGAAAAATATCGACACTAGCTAAGAATCGTTCCACATTGAACGAGTCTTCCACGATCAGGCACAAAACCAATGCACCCGGGATAGCCACGCCATCTCTGACGGGTCTCTCTAAAATAACGGTGACGACGCCATCACACAAAACCAACACGGAAAGTCAGAAAAGAAACGAAAAAAATTGACAACACAGATAGAAATGTTTGTCCGTGCGCCACGGGTCGATGTCGCCCGCATGCTCCGGTGCCACTGCTCCGTCCGGCGCCGCTGTAGTCAGCCCGAGCATAACGCCACTCGACCTGCTCCGTCCGTACACGCTCTCGTTGCTGTCCTTCCCAGTCCGTTCCTCGCTTTCTCCCTCATTGCACTCAAGGTTCTTGGTCTGAAAAAAATAAAAATTCTCGCGCCGAATGGTCAACCAGCCTAGTTCAGCTCGTCGCCACCTGCTCCCTCCTCCTTTGATGGCGAAGCCAGGTTACTGAGGCAATACAGCTCCCTCTAGCAAACCTAGGGCCGTGAAGTGCCCGTCCACCTTTCTGATGGTGTCTGCCTCCGCGCACAAAAATGAGACGGGCATAACTGCCTACGCCGACGGCCAGAAGGCCCGCGCATCTACATTTTCCCGCCTGACCCCATCAGTGCCGACCCAACTCCACCACCACACGCACGCCTCGCGGCGGATGCGCAGCAGCAAGAAGGTTTCGGTCATCCCTTGAGGGTGAGTCTAGCCCTGTTCGCCAGAAAGACCCCCCCCTTCACTGCAACCCATGTCTAAGCAAAAGCTTGTCGAGGAGCGAGGGGAAGAAGGGAGAGTTAAGTGACAGTAGAAATAAGTCCTACATATTATTATTATTATTATTATTATTATTATTATTATTATTATTATTATTATTATTATTATTATTACCCTCCGACAATTGGAGATGTTAGCACTAAAGTCCTAAAACGTTTCACTCAATGTATACCCCTTACTATTTATATCTTCATGCTCATACTTGTACGAATACAATATTGTACATGCACGTACCTACCAATGCCGAACTTAAAACTGAAGGAAATCATAACATTATTGATTGAATTCAACATTTCCTCCATTCTCCTGTTACTTCCTTTGTGAAAATGCCAAAACCTTGTCTCTCCACAACTCTGACAAGAAGTTCCTGTCGTTGAACGGAAATCTTGTGAACATAATCTACTACTAAATACTACATTATTATTTTGTTTGCCCTCCGACAATTGCAGATAAATGCAGATATACATAAAAAGTCGATCGTAAAGGCCGTCATGCCAAGCCAAATGAACTCGATGCCCAATAGCTAGGAATGTTTGCCTGTAAGTCAACAAAACTTTGGTCGAAACACTACAGCTGAACTCTAGGCACGAACCTTAGATGGAGAAAAACGAACAAAACCCCAACCTCATTCATCCGAAATCAAACAAAACTCGGCCCCGTCTTCCCTGGTACCCCTTTTCTTTTAGTATATATATGTGATGTACCTACCAAATGCTTTGTAACAACTATACCTACGCTCATAAGATAATCCATTACACTCCTACTATTACTACAGTGCGTCGTCACTACATCCCCAAGTCATTGGTGTCGATCGATGTGTTCGGTGTCGATCTTGCTCGTTGGTCCTCCGCTTCTTGTCGTCCACGTAGTGCGAGCTTGTATCTTTGTACCCTCCTTGATATGGCCACCTGCGTAGCCACCGAAACGACCTGAAGTAGCCTCTCCTTGTAGACTCCTTTCTGGGTCATCGTTCCTCCATGCCTCCCTCCTACATATAATCTATATATGTTGTTGTACTTCGTATTGGTTTAATATTCACGTAGAGTATGAGACATAAAGTGAAAGTTTTCTGAGGTACACCTGCAATATTCGGAAGGCAAAAAAACAAAAATGCCGTCGTACCACATAAATAGACCCTCCGGTAGGACTTGAGGCAAGGCGGGAAGGCTGTATCGGGTTTCGTGCAAAGGTGCTCTCCCATAATTGACCTCGCGGCTGACACACATCGTCTTCCCTGCTGATCGCTGTGTATCCGGGTGGGTAATTTCTACGTGTTGTATCCTTCGCCGTACTCCGTAACATGTCCACACCACTGCTCCACACGGAGAGACCAACTGCCACTCGCTGCTACTGCTGACCTTCATGACGGATGCTCTTCAACGGGATTACGACATGGTTGCGACAAGATGTCTCGGCAAACCGCTCTGAGGAATACCAGGGAAGTTGGCAACAATGGCCACATTGGATGTATATCACTTGAACACTTTCCGTTCTCTACTGATGCTGATTACCAACACCAAACATACCAGGAAACCTGCTAACACGATACAAACTGAACGCTATGCCCTACCTACCATGCACCAGGTGTACCATTCTCTTCTACTGTAAGCATCACTGATACGCTACCCCAAAGGGTCAAGCAAGTTTTTTTTTTTTGTAAATTCTAAAAAAACGGCGTGAAACACCTACTGCCCGTGAAATTCAAAAATCTACAGGTTTGAAAAACGAGGATGTACTGCTATATGTAGCCTTCTTTCCATCTTCCATGATATTTACATCAATTTTATATTGTTCTCCTTAAATTCCTAAAACCAGCAAGCTGTCAATAGACACTGCGCCGTGTCCCCTGTGAAGGTTACATCTTACAGTTCAGGACACTACGGAGGGATTCTCCCCGATATCTTGTCGTTGACCCAGTAGAGAACTACAGGGGATGTATTGTAAAATGTAGATTTACCTATACAGATGTTTGTTTTTAGCACCAGCTGGCATCACTGATAAATCATCAGTGTATAGACTTATAAANTCAGGACACTACGGAGGGATTCTCCCCGATATCTTGTCGTTGACCCAGTAGAGAACTACAGGGGATGTATTGTAAAATGTAGATTTACCTATACAGATGTTTGTTTTTAGCACCAGCTGGCATCACTGATAAATCATCAGTGTATAGACTTATAAAGACTCGAAATAAGTCCAGTACCCAGCCGGTTTTCCTCCACTTTATGAAAAGACTCCACCACATCCCGTTCGACTGTGGGTATATCTCGAATGGGTAGTCTTTCTGTGCGTGTATTTATTTCTCCTTAAAAAATAAACACACATGTAGGACTTATTTCTACTGTCACTTACATCTTCATTTTTTTTCTTTTCCCTTACTGTTTCGTTTCCATGTTTTTTCTGTTTTTCTCTGTTTTCTTTTTTCTCTCTTTTGTCGCTCTTTTTCTGTGCCAGATGGCCTTGCTCTGCTGGCGTTGTGAAGTACCAAGATTGAACCAAGGGGGCGTACCTCTTCCTCTCCGGCCTGCGATGGTGACTCCTAGTCTCAGTTGTTTCCTCGCATAGCGCGCAGAGGGAGTGGAGGACTCCAGGATATCGGTCGTTGATTTCTATTGACACGCGGACCCCTCGGGGCCAGGATACTTGAGTGTACATTTAAAGTAAGTTAACCTGTGACCACGGGAATCGACCACGTCGAGTGTTGGATCAGGTGTTGTTGTTGTTGTTGTTGTTGTTGTTGTTGTTGTTGTTGTTGTCTTCACATTAAGAACCGTTCCGATCTCTACCCAGTACCTTAGTATGTTCGTACTGATCCAACACTCGACGCGGTCGATTCCCGTGGTCGCAGACTAACTTACCCCAAAAAGGTACACTCCAATCAACTGGCCCCAAGGGGTCCGCAAGTAAATAGAAATCAACAACAGATATTTTGGAGTCCTCCACTCCCTCTGCGCGCTACGGACAATCGAAGGTACTGGGTGAAGAGAGATCGGAACGGTTTTTAATGTGACGACGACAACAACAACAACAACAACAACGAAGCACCACTTTGGGGCTCATATTCGACCAATTGAAAGAGGAAGTAACTCCCGGAAGCGTCCACTGGCCATCCAAGCATATGCGCCCGAGATGTACCTTGTTCCTACCTGTGGCTGCCCCCACAGCGATCCTGGTTGGTGCTTCTGGCGGTGACGACGTTGTTGGAGTGTCCAGGCCCAAAGCAATTCGAGTTGAACAGAACCCCCACGACAAAGTGATCGCCAGGCGGAGAACTCGGCAGCAGCTCACTCCGTCGAAGATATGCCGCTGCTGAGCACGTCGGGCCATGACCCAAGCGGGTCAACTGTGTGTGTGTGTCTGTGTGTGTGTGTCTTGATAGTCTAGACTGACTGGTTGCTTTTGCGCGTCACCTCACCCCAACGGGCAATCAACCGGAAAATTAGTATTTTCTGCGTGCAAACTCGAATGACGAAAGGCTGTGGGATACGGAACGAACAACGACCCGAGGNTATGCGCCCGAGATGTACCTTGTTCCTACCTGTGGCTGCCCCCACAGCGATCCTGGTTGGTGCTTCTGGCGGTGACGACGTTGTTGGAGTGTCCAGGCCCAAAGCAATTCGAGTTGAACAGAACCCCCACGACAAAGTGATCGCCAGGCGGAGAACTCGGCAGCAGCTCACTCCGTCGAAGATATGCCGCTGCTGAGCACGTCGGGCCATGACCCAAGCGGGTCAACTGTGTGTGTGTGTGTGTGTGTGTGTGTCTTGATAGTCTAAACTGACTGGTTGCTTTTGCGCGTCGCCTCACCCAACGGCAATCAACCGGAGAATTAGTACTTCCTGTTTGCGAACTCGAATGACGAAAGGCTGTGGGATACGGAACGAACAACGACCCGAGGNAATGCGCCCGAGATGTTTCGTGTTCCTACCTGTGGCTTCCCCCACAGCGATCCTGGTTGGTGCTTCTGGCGGTGACGACGTTGATGGAGTGTCCAGGCCAAAAGCAATTCGAGTTGAACAGAACCCCCAGGCCAAAGTGATCGCCAGGCGGAGAACTCGGCAGCAGCTCACTCCGTCGAAGACATGCCGCTGCTGAGCACGTCGGGCCATGACCCAAGCGGGTCAACTGTGTGTGTGTGTGTGTGTGTGTGTGTCTTGATAGTCTAAACTGACTGGTTGCTTTTGCGCGTCGCCTCACCCAACGGCAATCAACCGGAGAATTAGTACTTCCTGTTTGCGAACTCGAATGACGAAAGGCTGTGGGATACGGAACGAACAACGACCCGAGGGGTTGGTGCTACATGTGGGCTGGTATGTACCTGCGGAGACGGAATTAGCCAGGTCGGTCCAGCAGGGACGGCTCTGTAGTTTCGACCAACCAAGAATATCCCAATGTCCCGCTGTCAATTTGGGGAAGATACGTCATTTTCCTCACAATGAACGTTTCTTCGTTCCCTCGGGGCCCCCACCCAAAATCCCGCTGGGGACCATTCCCAATAAGCGCAGCGCGCAGTGCATGCTCTTTACCACTGTGACCTGTACTGAAGCTGTTGAGGTCACCAACCGGGGGCCCAGCGCGGAAAATGGAGTGAGCCTGACAATGTGTGAGATGTCGTGAGTCTAGTATTTTTCTGAAATAGACTATCTATGCTGCTCACAATTTACTACTTATGTTCGTCTTGTTGGTGCGCCCATGCTGGAATCACAGTACATTTAGAATATTTGTGGCGCCCACTTAGCCATCAAACGAGGAGACAGCGGGCCCAAAAATAGTCTAGATACGGCACCAATCAACGGGGCGGTAGGGGGGCGGAAGGAAACGGCGCGGCGGGAAGAAAGCAAGCGAGAAGAGACCGACCGCGTGACGTGACATGTTGCGGTCGAATTACGACTAATTTTTCTGTTGCCCTCTCCCCCGTTTGCTGTCGCGTTCAGACTGTCTCTAGGGATATCCCTGTCTCTGTGCGAGTTTGTTTGTGTCCTCGTCTTTGCTTTATTCTGTTTTATTTTGTCTTTTGTTTTNTCTAGTATTTTTCTGAAATAGACTATCTATGCTGCTCACAATTTACTACTTATGTTCGTCTTGTTGGTGCGCCCATGCTGGAATCACAGTACATTTAGAATATTTGTGGCGCCCACTTTCGCCAACACCAGCAGTCGTCACGTATGCGTACAACCATTCTGTAATGCATCATGTCCTATCCATGATCCTTGACAGCCTAGTATTTCCCGAGTCTGTTCTCCTCCTCTCGCCCGAAAGTCTATGCCCAGCCCCGCCCCCGTCGCTTCCAGCCTGCTTTGTAAAAGGCTTGGTGTGGGTGTCTGTGTGCCTATGTGTGGTCTACATGTAAATGTACTGTATCTCATGTTTGCCGATATTGTTTGTTTGTTGTTTTTCTCTCATCATTGGACTCTGTCGTCTGCCCCTCTTGCCCCTATATCCTCCACTTCTACCAGCTTGACGACCCAACCGGGGTCACATGGGAGGGGGGCGTTGGACCCCCTCCTGCGGTTCCTGCCCGGGATGTTTTTATCGCGAGAAGGGTACAGCAATCCTTTCCCTCGCGACTTATGAAGTCGATCAAAGTTACTAACAACGAGCTTTGCAGCACGTCGCTTCCAACGGAGACCAGGATTGAATTAGCGAGAAAAACTCACTCTGCCGGGACTCGAACCCATGACCTGGCCCTAACTAAGCAGGCTGCGAGGCTACCCGCTGTGTGCCATAATGATCAACCATGAGACTACAGGCATGTTTCGGGTTCAACCATTTGTTTCTTTTTACTGAGATCCTCCTTTCTTCCCCTCGCTGCCTCAGCAACGTTTCTCGTAGGCATGACCCATAACGAGGGGGGGGTCTTTCTAGCGAGCAGGGCAAGACTCACCCTCAGGGGACCGATACCTTCTTGCTGCGGCGCACCCGCCGCGAGGCGTGCGTAGTGGTGGAGTTGGGTCGGCACTGGTGCGTCAGGTACAAAGGTGCAGATGCGCGGGCCTCTAGGCCGTCGGTGTAGGCAGCAATGCCCAACTCATCTTTGTGCACAGAGGCAGACATCATCAGAAAGGTGGACGGGCACTATGTACCCGGCCCTAGGTTTGCTAGGGGGAGCTGTACTGTCTCAGTAATCTGGTTTTGCCATCAAAGAAAGGAGGGGGGGACAGGTGGTGACGAGCTGATTGGGCTGGTTGACCCTTCGGCGCGAGAATCTCCAGACCGAGAACCCTAAGTGCAACGAGGGAGAAAGCGAGGAACCGACTGGGAAGGACAGCAACGAGAGCGTGTACGAGCGGTGCGGGTCGAGTTTGGTCGTGCTAGGACTGGCCACAGCGGCACCGGAGCAGCGGTACCGGAGCAGCGGAACCGGAGCAGCGGAACCGGAGCAGCGGAACCGGAGCAGCGGAACCGGAGCAGCGGAACCGGAGCAGCGGAACCGGAGCAGCGGAACCGGAGCAGCGGAACCGGAGCAGCGGAACCGGAGCAGCGGAACCGGAGCAGCGGAACCGGAGCAGCGGAACCGGAGCAGCGGAACCGGAGCAGCGGAACCGGAGCAGCGGAACCGGAGCAGCGGAACCGGAGCAGCGGAACCGGAGCAGCGGAACCGGAGCAGGCGGACGGCATCGAACCGTGGCGCACCAATCTGTCGCACAACTTGCGGTTTCTATAAACTGCTCATGAGACGCTCATGAGCGGCTCATGAGACGCTCATGGGATGCTCATGAGCGGCTCATGAGATGCTCATGAGATGCTCATGAGCGGTTCGATGGGTCGTCTCATGAGCTGTCCCATGGGCGTCTCTTCATGGGCGTCTCATGGGATGGCCCATGAGATGGCCCATGAGACAGCCCATCGAACTGCCCATGAGCATCCATGAGATGGCCCATGAGACAGCACATCGAACTGCCCATGAGCATGTCACGAGCTGATCGGCCGTCGTCGAGGCTGCCCATGAAGGAGAGGCAGAGCGTCTCATGAGTAGCAGCGACATTGCTATGCAAATGTCTTGCAAGAAGAAAGAGAATGGCCCAAAAACATACTTCCTCTGTATCATAAGTTAGGGTACCTAAATTTGTACGGGCCCTTAACCGTGTCCGATCTGTTTTTCGATTTTTTTGTTGAAATCTTCGTAGTTTTTTTAGCAAGAAACTTCTTTCTTTTTTTATGCATGCGCCACCCCGCGTACATGAGCGCCCGAGAAAAAACCAGTCGGCCTGAAAAAGGCCGTATTTTGCATGTATTCTGCCCCATCCGACCAGGCGACCAGGCGTGGGGGGCGGGGCAATGACAAAAACAAGGCAAAAATACCAAGAATTATCCCTGACCCTAAACCTAGCCTCCCCTCTACTCAACGATCCATGACGCGTCCCCCATACTAAAAGCAGCATAATAGTGGCCCCCACACTGAAAACAAGACACTTGGGGGGACCACACTAAAACCAAGACACTTGCGGGGCAAAGCAAGCAACAGTAGGGCCCTCATCCAACCCCCCCCTCTACTCAACGATCCATGTCGCGCCTCCTATAATAAAAGCACTATAGTAGTGAGCCACACTAAAACCAAGACACTTGGGGGTCACACACTAAAATCAAGACACTTGGACGGGTACTTCTTTCCGACACAGTAGCGTTCGCAGATCGGGTCAAGCACGCCCTTGGGAATCGTTGACAACCCCGGCTGAATGCCCATCGCAATTTCTACCGCCATGGCATAGCGCCTACCAACCGATAACTCGGTGCCCCTTTTGCGAGGTGGTGTGCTGGGGGGCGATTCCATCGCTAGAGTGAGTAGTGGGCCGGTAGGGTACTAATATCAGATGGTTTTGAGATTTTTTTCGAGAATTCTCAAAAACAATCCCATAATATTTTCTCAAAAATATTCCCAAAACAGGCCAAAATAGGGTATATTTTGACCGATATTAGGTACAGAGATAGATGTTCGTTTTTTTATTTTATTTTTTCTATCGCTTCTTCTTTGTTATATCTTTCTTACAAACCCGACTATGCTACCATCACTAACACGGTTGCACCCAGACAATCTATTGCATTTAGGTACCCTAACTTATGATACAGAGGAAGTATTAGTCTAACGCAAGAATCCGGTTAGGAGCATTCCGAACGCTCTTTCGGACTTCTCCGAAAAATTATTCGACCTTCTCTGCAGCGCTTTGCGAAATAATCCGCTCCAAACTCCGCATGCACACCTTTGCATGGCCTAAATCCTCTGGCCAGAAGGACGGAAAAGACAGAACCGGATATCCGAAGCAAGAGCAATGCAGTGGCTAGCGAAATCACCGCCGTGCTGCACATTTAGTTAAGCCAGTGTGGGCAGAGCACAGCAGCAGACAAACGGATGCAGAGTAGAGTTTTTTGCCGATGTTGCTTCGATTTTTCCGAAAACAGCAACGCTCCTCGCTGCCCTCGTTTAAGCAACGCGAGAGCATCAACTAGCCCGTAGCGCCGGCATCGACGCCGGCCAGTATCATGTAGATCATCGTGTCGAAAGAAGCAGGACACCGGAGGCTTTCAAGCTCTCGCAGTGTGCAATGGTACGAACTGAAGTGTGATCCCGCCACAAGAAAACTGCCGTTGGCTTTGAGGTCTGCAACGACACCCACATAGCTAGTCCCAGCCCTTGCGCAGGCGGCAACGGAGCGCCAACAAGCCCGTAGCGCCGGCATTGAGGTCGGCCAGTATCATACAGATCACCGGCATCGCAAGAAGAGGGACGCCGGAGGCCTTCAAGTTCTCGCATTGTGTGGTGGCGTTAGCTGATGCGTGTCTGAATCAGTGTGTCAAAATCACGTCCAAAGAGACAGATAAAAGCCTTAGACTACAAGTTACAAGAAAATTTCTGCGCGTAGTGGTGGAGTTGGGGTGACTACAGTCAATGATCCCAGCCGGTTTCTTGCATCGACAGCACGGGCGAGGCACCGCACGGGGCCTGTTTTGAGACGCACGTATTATCGCAGTTGTTATTTCAGTTGAGAGTTCTGGTTGTCCGTGTCTGTAATTGGAAACGGTCTATTGCTCTCTTGGATTGGAGCCAAAGGTCGGTGGGGTTCCACGTGTCACATTTTATTGTGAACGTAGACTACTCCTTTCTTCCCCTCGCTCCTCGACAAGCTTTTGCTTAGACATGGGTTGTAG